CTCGTTGTTTTCGGTCTAAATACTTTTTGCTTGTGTTGCTCACACCATAGATGCATACAAAACAATCACTTTCGCTTGGGGAATAGTTCCGTTTTTGATACGTGCATCATAATTTTGTTGTTGTCTTTGTCCTTTCTCGAATATTCCCCGAGTCTCGTGAATAGTTCTCATGTCAACGTTAGTTGCTGATGTAAAGCGCAAACAAACGAAGTTCAGCGTGTATGTTTGATGTCATCAGCCATGGTTGGTTTGAGCGGCGGTGACATTGACCAAAGCACACAAGTGGAGCAAGAAAAATAAAACGTCAAGGAAATGAATTGTTTTAGAATGCGCTGTATGTCTTTGGATTATCTTCATATGTTTTGAATTGAATAAATGGGCGAGCATGCGATATTCATATGTGCTCGTGCTTATGCATTCAGATGAAGTTTCGAGAATGATGAGCTAAGATACGAGTTTTATTGCGCCCAACCTTCTCGTTGTGTGCGAGAGACAATGATGAGGTTTTGCCCAAAATAATATTGCCGCAGTGGAATGATTTAGATTTGGTATTTCAAATGGACGACGTGGATGAGCCTATGTGATGTGACGTGGTATTGTGCGGTGTGGTGTGCGTACGATAATATTTCATCAGTGCAAAAATAATTGTCTAACCCTCGAACGCGCATATCTTGGGCCTACGATAGACTAATGCTGTTTTCGGCTTATTACTCGGTCTCTTCACCCCGTTATGAGAAAGTACGTTTTTACGTGCCATGGATGAAAATAATTTCGCACAAACCGAATAAACGATGAGACTCTTTCGTTTGCGTAATATTTATCATAAATTTTTGTGGCATCACCACGCGCCACCCAATGTTGAGCCAACATTTTGTAAATGATGTAGATAAACAAAAGCAGTGGCGAAAAACCGAAACTGAAACGCACATCGAACATTTGAACAAGCCACCAACCAGTTCATTGACAAATATAGGGGAAATTGGGGAATTCCGGGCCATGGGGAATTGCGGGCCACCCGACTTTTCTCTGTCACTTGAATAGTTAGACAAGTCAAAATTGCTTCATTTGTCTTGTCTTAGCCTAATATCAGTTTCCTATCAATACTCGACGCGTGAACACGTGCTGTGAGCTCTCTGCAATAAGTGCATTTACAAAAATTCCAAAATATTTTTTTCTGATCATCGTGTTTGCATATTTTAAACGACCTTTTTTCGATAATAAATTCAGGTAAGTATGTTTTTTTATGGTGTGTCATTATTCTCTCGCCTCACAAAAGGAATTTTGCATAAAGATACATTGAGTGAGTCATGCGCAACCATCTTGTAATTATGAGCATTTGGGGAATTCCGGGCCATTTTTTCTGGGGAATTACGGGCCACTACATTTTTGACATTAGATGAGTTCAAAACGCATGTTTATTGCACATTCAATGTTTTTCAAGCCATATTCCGACAAAATATCAGTTAAGGGTCCTTTTTAAACATATGAGCCAATGAAAACAAGCATTTTAACATCGCCAGAGGTTGTGGCCCGATTGCGTCAGAAAGCTGAAGCCAAGAGCCAGAAATTGTAAAAACAACAACAACAAAAGGATGCAAAAACAAAACCACCAGCAACAAAGAACCGCAAAACCCGTCCAGTATCAACCACGTCAAAGAAGAAACAGCGCACTCAATCTTCTACTGAAGAAGAAGAAGAAGATGTTTTGATCTGCATCATTTGCAAGGAAAACATGCCAAAGAATCTCAATCGAAATAATTCCATTCATTGCGATTCATGCGACCAACCAGTTCACTTGAAATGCGCCAATATGACGACCAGCTCTTTTACATGCGCTACCTGCGAATTATCGGACTAATTTTGATCTTGATTTTACGATTTTTCAATTTCATTTCATTTAAAATAATTTCTTTTGTCATTTTGAACGATCAATAAACATTTTTCACCAATATATTGTCAGTTTTATGTCAATCGATGAAGTGGCCCGCAATTCCCCATGATTTTTGAAAATATCAAAAACGTCCTTTTTTTGCCAACCACCAAATTTTTTTTAGCAAAGTTGAATTTTTAAAAGTGAGAAGACCCAAATGGTAGGATTTGAGGCGTACTACAACTGAGAGATTCTAATTTTCAAGAAAAGTATATGTATCACAAAGTTATGAACGAAAAATAAAGTGTGGCCCGGAATTCCCCAATTTCCCCTACATAAAATTAATGACACTGTTGCCGTTGTCATGGCAAATGAACCATCAGAGTTGACAAAACGCAGACGATTCCGCTTTTATTTTCACATTGAAGCCACTCTTGGTTGCCTATTGTGCAGTAGGTAGTTGGTTATCAAAGCGAACGAAATATTGATGCTAGATATTTGATTATGTTTTATTTCGAGTACAATTATGATCATGATGGCCAATGTGAATGCGATTGTCATGGATTCGATCTATTGGTGAAATGATAGACATTCGTTTGAAAGCTGAAAGAATTTCATCAGACTGTTTGTCATAATGCTAAACTTGTTCGAGATTAAAATGACTTTTCCAGTGTTATTCTTGTCCAATTAAATGAATGTGATTTACTCGACTTTACATTTATCAGAGTTGTAGTCTGAAGAGCCATTTCAAAATAAAAAAAAATCGATAAAATTTTTGCCACGAATTCTAGCGAAGTATGGTGAATATAGACAAAGAAAAAGGGAGAGCGGGGGAATGGGGAGCTTTAGATACATTGTATACTCCATACTATCATCAATAGTCCACTACTCAACGTTATCTCTTTCTCCATTTCGTCCACCAAGAGCTTCTCTATACTTGGTAAACGTTTAATTCAATCGGTGAGAACAAAGTTGAACCATGAATTTCGCATAACAGAAGACCGTGACATGGAGTTGGTTTAAAATAATAGTAAAATATAAATAGAATGCGTTTAAAAATAAATACACAACATGCGCAGAGTGAAAATAAAACAGAAACAAAGCTGTCGGTAAATAAATAAATAAATGAATGAAAGAATTGTCATTTAGCTAAAAGTAAAACCATATTCCATTGAAAGAACGATTTTCATTTGGTGCATATTTTTAATTTAATCTTTTTGTATGATTCCATTACTAGTGAATGGTTGGTCGAAAAGAAATAAAAAATCATATCAAGTGCACAAAAACATGAACATCAATCGCGATGTAGATACGAAAATGATATAGAAAAAAATGCAAGACTATCTGAAATGCAACAAAACATTTCTACGTGAAATAAAAAGTGCCAAGTCATTAAGCACAGATACTATGAGTAAATTCATTGATTTGGTATCAAGCAACACCAATTACAATATGATCAGTGTTAATTGTGTATTCACAAAGGATTTCTATAAAAGCATCAACGATCCGAAACAAGATGACATTCAAATCCTATATGAAGAAGACTATAATGAAATCGGTCACTACATCTGTCTTCATTACTCAGCCAAAACAAATATAATTCGTATTTATGATAGTTTTTATAGTGATCAACGGCTTAGTGAAAGAACTCAAGCTATCATTGACTTTCGATATCCGAACCATAAGTTTATTGAATTTATCATACCACAAACCAAACAACCAGACAAAGTGTCATGCGGCATTTTTTCAATCGCTTATGCAACTGCATTGATGTCCGAAGGCGATCTAGACGATATTCAATTTAAATTGAATAAATACATAGGAAATCCAACAAAATCACTTCGTAATCATTCAGCTCAAATGTTACGTGATAACAAAATAAGGCCGTTTCCATCGAAAAATATTATTGACGGTTAGCCATATTGCCGCAGATTTTACTCCGAAGTCGATAGGACTGGTAAAGAGGTGATATGGTTTCGTCGGTGTTGACTTTAATCGCTTCAAATATTTTAATCTGATTTTATTAATTGAAGTCATTGAATATAAATAATCGATATATAAGAAAAATGTGCCGAATAAAGAGAGCTCTTCGGAACAGTTTGTCTCAGTGATGTGAGACTATTAATTTCATCGCTTTTTTCTCGGCTCACTTAATCTGTCTCGAGATAGGGAGAGAGAGAGAGAGAAGGAAAAATTCCATTGCAGCATCGTAAGGAATTTTTTAATATAAATTCGAGCGAGCTTATAAACCACACGAATGTGTTCCGTGGTGTGCAAAAATAAAAGTGCTGCAAATTCCAAATGAGAGAAAAAAGGGGCTACGATTCAAAGTAAGAATTCGAGCATGATAATCTCTATGATCGCATCGACATTATGGCGCACTCACAACAATATACGGGGTGTAGACTACTTTTTCTGTGTATATGTATATGCTGATTTTATTTTATCGATGTCGTATGAATGCTTATTTAATGTTGGCCCGACAAACGGTGAATGAGCGAGCACACAGTACACACACATTTATATAACATTTTTGCCGATTGAAAACAACGTTATATACGTTACAATGAAGGAAATGGTAAATGTATGTGAAATATATGATTTGTTTGCCGTTTTACGTGAATTTTGTGGTCAAATCTGGTAGTTTAATCTCTACGTTTAATCTCTTACTACGCAAGAGATAGAAAAAAAATCTCACCATTAAATGAACACATCACCAATCAATCCTTGGGAATATTTAGAAAATGTTCTTCCAAATTTTATTCCAAGAATAGTTTTGCACGGATATATATCCAAGCGGCGAACAAACCCGACAGAAAAAAATGGTACATCGAATTCATTTGACCACAAGAAAAAAAAACGTTGGCACAACAGGAAATCAGAAGGTCAAACTTTCGATATGGATTCATGTTTCGATTTGGGCGAACACGATGGCATACCTCTCAATGCCAACGAGGTGAAATAAGCCGTTTAAAAATGACATTTGCATAAAGTGTATAATAATATAAAAACAACCTCTATCATATTGCCACCTTTTGAATATTGCACACAAAGGAATTTAACTTATAAGATTTTTCATGTTGTTGTTTTTTTATCGTCTTCTCTTCCTCCTTTTATCTCGTTTTTCTAGTGTCGATGCCAGTGGTTCAGCAAACACAGCGGAAAGAGTTGAAGTCACACGGTAAAATAGACCCTTGTCTGTCGTTCCATTGAAACCTTTTATCACTCCGGCCGGTCGTTGCGCAACCATTCATCCACTCGATACAAGGTAAACATAGCCTGACACCCTTTTTTCACACAAAATTTCTTTGCAAAGCGAAAGCGAATGAAAGATGAAGGGAAAAAACGGGGCAAATATCGCAATCGCTTCCTCAAAAGAGCCGAACGAAGTAAATAACAGAAACTCCCCGGTTAAACGAAAAAAGTAACCAAGTCAAATCATTAAAGTTGAACGATTTTCAGTAGATGGCAAATGTACACAATACAAAATTTATGTTGGATATTAGGCCATTTAACGTTGTTAACACAGGACTTGAAACTTCACCAGCTTTCTCTCTCTCTTTCCCTTTTGCTGCTGTTAAAAGGAAAAAAAAATTTAAAATTAAAAAAGAAAAAACATACGAGAATACTGCGTCAAACTGGTTAAAGGTGAACGACGAACACGCGTTTTCATACAGTCAATTTGTGTTGTACACACAATTGCGATGTGTGTGTGTATACATGTACACTGTACACGCGTCCGCGTGCCAAAAAACAGCCAGCAAGATCTAGAAACAAAATACATTCCCATACCTGCTGTTACGTGGGAACAAGATGAAAATAAAAAGTGTGCGCCGTTCAAAGGCAACTTGGCAACCAGTAAAATTTTATTCAATTGCTTCATTACATTCCAGGGTGGTGTGTTCAGCTCGTGAAACCGACAGCATATCGAACAATGGCTTTTCTTTGTGTTTCGTTCATATTTTACGTGCACAACGAACAAAGCGCTATTTGCATTTACGGCCAATTTCAAAGCCGACTCTACCAACTTTCATTTGTTGTTCACTTTATTCTTCTTCTTCTGTTGGCTTTGTGTCATTTTGAAACACGGGTTTTGTTTTCCTTGCACCAAAGTCACCACCGTTTGAACCTAACTTTGGCGAATTCGGTTCATACACACGTTCGGTTATTTATGTCATTTACATATATATGCAGATACACGGCTATCGCCACTAAGTTTGCACGTACAATGTGTATGTAAATAAAATTATGGGGAGTGCGGGGCCGCGAGTTGAGATGAGAGAGCGAGAGAAAGAGTGCGAAAGAGAGAGAGAGAGAGAGAGAGAGAGAGAGATAAAATGATTCGAAACGAAGACATTCATTGCCCGTGTGTTGTTGGCATTGCCAATGGCACAATCTTTTTTTTTTCTTAGATTCGCACTCTCGTTAAATGTATGGCTATATAAATGCCAGCAGCAATGGAAAACAGCGCGATGAATTAAAAAAAAACCTGGCAAGCTATAAAGAGTAACAAAAAGCTTGATCCGAATGAGAGAGTGAGTTTAAATTTATTGAATGATTTATTGTATTCAGATAATAAACGCACGCCCCATTTAAATGCATCCCAAAGAACTTGATACACAATAAAGTTAACAGCAAAATCAACAGAGCAATTTTCTTTTCATGTAATTTTGTGTAACACGTGCCATTCGACGCCATTGAAGTCTGTTTGACGTCAGAATTTCATATAGACAAGGGCCTCGCTTGAGTGCGTGTGTTTGAAAATAAAACCATTTTGCATGGCATTTGTTCGACAGATAAATTGAAAATAAGATTTTTTTTGGAGAAACAGCCGAGACCTATTTGATGCGACGAATTCTTTAATCAAGTCCAGTTGACAACGACATTGATCGTTGATTCGATATAATGAAACGTCGAAAAAATATCACCATATTTCCATCTCTTCTTCAATGAATTTATTATGCGGTGTTGCTCTCTGCTGCTGCTATTTTGTGCAGATTTTGTGAATTACCTTCGTTGCTACCATGTTATAAATCGAAATCATACTGTCATGCTACGGCATTATTGTTGTGGCTTACAATCGAGTTTCGGTTTTATTAGTCGATTCCAAATGAATGCAAAATGGAATTGCGCATACACGCGAACGCCATTAAGTGAATTAACACATTGAGAATGTGCGCGCCACAGCCTGGCACCGTCAAAGAATTCCACGGAGACGATAATAATAATCACAGATATGATGAGCAGAAACACCAAGACCGAACAACTGGCATACAAACGCAATTTTTGTAATAGGCCAGCATGCTCATAGCGCCCATAACCATAACAGTAATAATATTTAAAATTGCCTATCGTTATTTGGAATGTTAGTCGAAACGTCGTCACACCAACAACAAAACCACCCAGTTACCCAGTGTTTCAAGAACAAAAACACACAGTGAAATCGAATCCGTTGAACTCTCTCGGAAATGACGCGTTATTTTCGAATGGCTTTGTCGTGCATGCGAACAACAACTACTTTATTTTGAGTATATATCTTTTTTGTTTTAGTGTACACTGTAAACACCAGCCATTATTCCGGCATTGGAATATTGTGAAAAATGTTCACACGTCGTGTTAATAAATCAAAAATTCGGTGAACTGATTTGAGGTTGCTTGGTGATTGTTTTATGCTGCCTGTGTGCACAATTTAAAAAATAAAGCCCTGATTCAGTTCATTTTGAAGAAATATGGGCAACGCATAGCTGCTCTGCCGAAAAAGAATATACATCTGGAAAAAAAGGTATCAATTCGAGCTGCAAATTTGATTTATATATCGCGCATCGAATGAATTTTAAATAAATGCATTGGTTAATGAATGCCAGTGAATGTTTCAATAAAAAAAAGAAGAAGCAAGTCCAGGCAACCTTATTACTTTTTGACTTCTTTTGTTTGTTTGCTAGGACTGGCATTCATTTCGAGTTGGTGGTGCTTTCGAATAACCTTCGGAATGTTCACATTTACCGAATGCTCGACGAGAACATTTTTTTCTTTGCGTTCTCATCCAGACAAATGAACCATGAAACAATGGACATTTTCAGCAAATTCTTTTGAAAGGGCACATTTATTTCATAAATTGAGGCCACCGTTGGCATTTTCTTCTTTCTCTCTCGTTTGCTTTTGTTTAAGTTTAACTTTTTTTTTACTTTTTGTATCAAGAAGAAAAAAAGTCTCTAAAGCTTTTTGGCTGCGACTCAACTGTGAATTGTCAGTTGGTTCTTTTTTCACCCTTTGGCGTCAGTCATATAGTGTGTCTTTTTTTCTGCTCGCTGTGCTCCAAATGTGAATTTTATTTTGAGCGCAAACAATGCATACACCGTTTAAGGTTGACTTCATTCAACCCAGAAATAAGAAGTCTTTTGACTTTTATTAATACACAGCTAGACACACGTCACCGTCGTCGTACATTGTTCATTTGAATCAGTCACTTCCCAAGGCCCATTTCAATTCAACAATACCGCCATTCAAGATCTCTCTTGATGCGGTTTAATTGTGTGCTTTTTTATGTTGAATGAAGAGAAAAATGTCTGTATTTTTGCTCTTGGAAACTAGGTTTTAAACAGTTTGAGATAGAAAATTTACCAATTTTAAAATGTTTTCCGAGCCTCGACCACTTGATTGTATAATTATCACGACTCATACTTTTTGCGCTTGCATTCTGTCCCGACACGTGTATGTAGTCATTGTGTGTGTGAGATAGAGCCGCAAGAGATGTCAATTTCCCGCGAGAATTCCCTTTGCACTGCCAACCGCCAATTCGGTTGGCTCATTTCCACCATTATTTATAGCAAGTATTTTAATAATAGAGTGTTATATTTAAAAACTAGAGCAAGATAACATGGCATTCTCAATGAGAATCACAAAAAAGCCAGAACTATAACGCAGATGATTCTGCTCATGAATCGTGCGAATATTTTGTGGCAAATAATGGTAACAGTCTCTCGAAAATGGATGAAACCAGCAAAAATGTACTTAATTCCATTTTGAAGGGGTTCGAAAAGATATATACAAAAAGTAACGAAGAAAAAACCAAACCGACCATTTGAGTCCTTGTAAATTAGTTTAACAATGCCATTGTTGCCGCTGTGTGCGCTCTGTGTTCTGGGTCAATTCATGTAATCCTCAACCAACGAGACCGATTCAAAAGACGGCAACAGAGAGAAAAAACATGTACCAACAAAACACGTTATTTCCCAAAATCCAACACAAAACTATTATTCTGTTATCCCCATTAATACTTGTCAACCATGACAAAAGGTGGAGCTATGTATAATTTGAAAATTAAATGCGAACAAACGTATATAATAGAAAAAAAATATTAGAGCATAAAGAGAATAAACAGAACATTCAGCAAAATTACTTGCAAAACACAGAACACCCGACAGTTGCTATGAATGCTAGGGAAAATAGTATCATATAAGTTTATTGTCATAGTTGTTTTCCATTATTTATGTCCCATAGAAATATTTTAATTTCGGAGCCGAAAGAAATTTTTTTAAGCAACAATATATATTCGGCCTTTTTTCATTGCGACGGGATATTTTCACAGAGAAACAATTTTTTGTGTGTGTTTTGTATAATTGTTTTCTTCTGAATTATTTCATTAGTGGAAAGAGAGAGAAAGAGAAAATAAAACTGTGTTGATCCAGTGTATTTATAATTTTTAGTGAAAATTGCACAGCGAATAAATGTAATGGAGGTGGAAATGGTAGTTGAATCTAATATAAATGGTTGTTCTTTCGAAATTTTAATGACCAAATAAAATACTACATATTCGGATGGATGAGTCGGAATTAAAAGCTGGGACACAGAAAAACCGTCTCCTTCGGGCGTGTATTATCAACACATGACATACATCAGATCACAAGCAATTAAAATCTGATTCAATCTACTGACCGTCTCAACATGCATTAAAGTGAGCATTAAAATATATGTATTAAAACTATCAGAGTTCATTTGATGATTGGACTTTTGGGGCGAGCGAGTTGGTACAGTTATGGTGCTAACTAATGCTGTATGACATCAAGCATTCAAATGGATTTTCGGACTAAACTAATGATTCGCTTCGCTGGCACTGGCTTTTTCCAACTAATGTCCAATCCATTAGCTTTAGCTAGTTCAAAACTGAAATTACAGCCTCAACGGGGCACCAGAGACATAAAATTGACATACAGTTTCGATTTACATTGAAATGGAATATCTGTCGGTATGTGCTTTCCCAATGAAAAA